AAGTATGTTTCACTTACTTTTATTGGAAAATTCTCATATCGTATACCCAACTTGTTCAAAGATTCCTTCAGAATTAGCTTTAGAACGTCCAACTCCATCAGTAGCCTATTTGTTAGGAATAAGGATAAGATTGATCCTATGGATCAGTCTGGTGTTTACAAACTAACTTGTTTGAACTGTCCATGCTCATATGTGGGAAGGACCTTTCGTAATTTTAAAATACGCCTGAAAGAGCACACACGCTGTCTTAACACTAACACTACTGGTTTTTCTCACTTTGCTGCTCATTTGTTAGACACTGGTCACGATTTTGATTCTAGCTTCGACATTTTGCATATGACTTCTAATAAATTCCTTCTGAATAACTTTGAGAACCTGGAAATTTAAAAAAATATTAAATCTGGCCCCTCCTGCTCTCTGAATGCACAAATTCAATTTATTTAGTACCCCAACGTTCTCTGCGCTTATTTAAATTAATTTCAGACTTATACCCCCATTCATTTGATCTTCAATCAGTTACTTACCACAAATTAATTAACTCTCCCAATTTAGATTTTCTTCTCTGTTTCCATTAATTTTTGCCCACTCGCATCTTATTAAATGTTTTCTTTATTAGTTTATTCAAATTCTCCCACTTGGTTGTCATATGCCAAAATTTGACTTTTCTTTTTTGACATTCGTACTTGTCAACTTAGTTTCCGTTTCCTGTAAAAGTAATTTTTCTTTTGATTATCTGCTTCAAATTTCCCTTTTACATATGAATTTTCATATTTTCTTGTTCAGTGTTCTAATTTTCTTGTTAGTATTTTTTGCTTTCTCATTTCCCAGTTTAATATTTTTACTTTCAATAAATTTTGTCACCGCCACCTATACTCACTTTCAGTAAATAACACCTTTGTTAGTACACTATTTATCCGCTGAATTTAAAATTTACAGTTTACTACATTGATTCGTTAAAAATCTAGATAGATGTCTTGAGAGTCTGATAATTTTACTTTTTACTTTTTTACTTTTTACTTTCATTAATTGACGTTATATCCTTAAAAATTTTAAACTGTTTGTGCTTGTAAAAACTATTTTGTGTTGTTTAGTTAATAATTGTCTTACATGTGTTTTAATTAATTTATTCAAACAGCCATCTCGCGGTTTAACTTAACCTAAAATATTTTTTAAAAAATACTATTGTATTACATATGACTTTTTTTAACTCGTTTTGTTAAACTTTATGTAGCGCTTCCTTTATGGAAATAGTCAAGGTGAGTCAAGGTTATTGTTTAACTTTCTTTTGTGTTTTTTCTGTTATTTTGTATATGTTAAAGTCAGTTCATGCTTTTATAATTGTTTTTTATTACAACTGACTCCTTGACATTCCATTTAGGTGTGCCTGATGATGAAGTGACAACTTCGAAACCGGTCGCCAATTAAATTGACTTGTGAGAAATAAAGGACCTTTTCTTTAACCCCTTACACTTAATCCCTACTACTCACATATGGCTACCCTCACTCCGAATTTAAACGTGGTCGTACATCTGTTTTTGATGAGGAGCGACCAGGTCGCCCGGCAGACGTTGTTACCGAGGAAATCGTTTAAAAGGTCCAAGACATGATTGTCGCAGATCGCCGAACGAAAGCGCGAGAAGTAGCAGAGGCCGTAGGCTTATCATACGGAACGGCAATTAATATTTTGCATGATAAGTTAAACATGAGAAAGGTATCGGCCTGATGGGTGCCGCGATTGCTTACGATGGACAACAAGCGGATACGGCTGTCAATGTCGAAGCAGTGTTTGGAGCTCTTTAATCGAAAGTCGCAGGAGTTTTTGCGTCGAGTCGTCACCGTTGATGAAACCTGGATACATTATTATACGCCAGACACTAAACGACAGTCGAAGCAATGGATTCTTCGGGGCGAATCTGCTCCGAAAAAAGCAAAGACGGTCCCATCGGCCGAAAAGATCATGGACACGACTTTTTGGGATTTCAAGGGAATAATCCTCATCAACTTTTTTGCAGAAAGGAAGTACGATCACAGGGCAGTACTATAGTGAATTATTGGTCCGATTCGATGCTAAATTGAAGGAGACACGGCCTCATTTGGCTAAGAAAAGAGTCTTGTTTCACTACGATAACGCACCAGCACATTCATCGAGAATTGTCGCGGTCAAATTACAAGAACTACAGTACGAATTGCTGTCGCACCCATCGTACTCGCCCGACTTGGCTCCATGCGACTTTTCTATTCTCCAACAAGAAAACGTGGCTCGGGGGAAAAAAAGTCAGCTCTAATGAGAAGGTTATCGTCGAGACTGAAGCGTATTTTGCAGAGTTCGAGAAATCATATTTTTTTGGAGGGGTTAAATAAATGCCAGAAACGTTGGGAAAAGTGTATAGCTCTAAAAGGAGATTACGTTGAAAAATAGAAATACATTTTTTTGAAAAACTTGCTTCTCTTTCTAACACGGGTACTTTTTGATCCACCCTCGTAAGTCTGCCTTTCCATATCAGATCTCTCTGGCTGGTAATTTTTTGGATACACCAACTTTCTCTTTATCGATTAATGCATTCAAAAATTCTCAAAAAAAAAAAATTGTTTCAACAGCAATAGTTGCTTAATAGTAACTTAACTTTAAATTTATAATTGTTATTTCTTTTTCTTTTTTTTTAATTCATTCTCATTTTTCAATTATTGTGGTCTGGGGGTCGATTCTCGACTTTTATTCCCATGGGAATTCAGTTTTCGTATTCTCGACATAAGCGGTGGAATATTTTCCAATGAGAAAATATTCCCCTGCTTACGAGCTTTGGAAATTGTGTTTTCCAATGGGAATTAGACTAGAGTTTGCGCATTAAAGTCATAACCAAAGATTATTGGATTTGGATTTTTGGTGAAATTGTAGTTAAAACATTTTTTTGGCGTATTTATAGATTGATATTATTTTATTTATGTAGGTATATTATTTTTACTTCTCTTTCACTAAGAAACTGTAGGTATGAACTCTGATTTTCTTAAATTGTGGAAGCTGCTAAGGGACTGGCAAATAATACAAATTGAGAAATTTGTAGTAAATTTAATAAGGGCCGATTCCACCGTTGTGTTAAACGGAGATTAAAATGACACTGTTAATGTAAAAATGTAATTTTAAACTTCGTTTAACACAACGGCCCTAAGACCTTTTAGAAAATTTTATTATTTCGTTAACGAAAGAATTTCTTAGTTTCTCGAAACTTTCATTGCTCTTCCATACAAATGCTACTTTTTCTATTTTCAACATGTGAAAAGAAAAACTAAGAATAACTCGACAAGTTTTAATTATACATAATCGAATATTTTCACTTGTTTCTCGGTCATGCTAGCGATTGCTCCGCACGGCCATGCACCTGCTCCAGCACGGAGGCTCGACAGGTAATCGATTACCCAAAAACCACAACAAATACAAATAATGCCAACAGTAAATTTTAAAATATCTCTAATGGTATTGGTTGTTTCGAAATATTCATGGACTTAATATCAGACATAAGTTAAACTACTATTTCCATGGGAATGTCTATTTCGACAAGTTCGAGAATTCCATAACCTATTACCACGGGAATATAAGCAGTGGAATCTTTTCCCATGGGAAAATTTTCCAATGAATTCGAGAATCGAGCCCCTGGTCAGGTTAGGGTGAAGATGTATTGGAATATAATTTATATGTGTATGTATTTTTTTTTAAAAGATGGTGAGGAAGAATTGGTCAGTAGATCTATCATCACTCCTTTTGTTTTCCATCGTTAATTATTGGCTTTAATATTTATCTGTGATGTATATTTATTTTATTTGGTAAACAGTAAATGATTTATTATTTTTATATATAAATATATATAATTTTGCTAATAAAGCTTACGAAGACGTTAGTTAGATACTGTATATACAGATTTCCAAAAATATTTCGATAAGGTACTACTTACTTTAAAAATTAGATGCATTTTGTTTAGCTACGAATTCCCTTTGTTTAAATAAAAGTTACTTACAAAACGAATTATTCATAGTAAAATATAATATATCTGGAATTTTTTCCTGCTAATTCGGGTGCTCCACAAGGTTTTAACCTAGAATCACTCCTGTTCTTGATCTTTGCTGATGATTTTAAGGTTTTCAAAATAGTATAGACAGTGAAGGATTGTGTTATCGTATAGAAAGACAAATAATATTTAGAAATGGAGACTTAGAAATAAAATGTATTTTTACATAGAAAAATATTGCGCTATGATTATTGACTATATAATTGATGGACATATTGTTGTGCTATAGTGAGATGTTAAAGAACTATGTTCCACTTATAATAGTCACTTTTCGTTTTCAACTCATATTACAAATACAGTAAAATCTGCTATCCGCATGTTAGACTACGTAACAAGGCAAACATTTGCTAATACGAACATTATAACATTTCTTTATTATAGTTTAGTTAGGACCAATTTGGAATAAATGCTTCTCTACTTTGGTATAGAGAATATCAACATTCAATGAAAGAGGTTGAAAAGGTTCAAAACAAACTACTTAGATACGTGTAATACAAAACACATCATGTTAGACCAGATTACAATATGATAAGATCAACCCAGTTGATATCGTACAGTAGGCGTTGCCTACACTCGATGATATTTCTCTGTAATACGCTTAATAATAATATAACTGCACCTGATATTATCCCTAATACGATTTAACGGTCCACTACATAGAATATGCTCATCAACATAAGAAACCCTGTAGAGAATGAATGTCATAATTAATGTATTATTATTAAAAAACAGAAATTAAGAAGAATAAGCTAATTTACTTTTACTTTACCTTACTTACTTTACCTTAGTTTACTTTACTTTTGCTTTGCTTTGCGTTACGTTACTTTAATTTACAAAATATGTAAAAATTGGTTACGTAATACGGGAAAACTGGTTTTTGAGATAATCCTACCCTGTACAGTCCTTATTTTATATTACATACGTTTTTTTTTGTTACAGGTTCTTAAGGAGACCATCCCAATGTCATGGCAACTAGAATTAATAAAAAAAATGCCCCGACGACTTCACCTAAGGAGGTAGTAACCGCAGAAAAAGCATCAGCTAAAAATGAACCCCCGGAACCAGTAGCGAAGTCCAGCGGTACCGCCAAATCAATTGGAAAACGAATAGCCAAAAAGCCGATTAAAAAAATAGGCAAAAGGTCCTTAGGAGTAAAGCTGAAAGCCAAAGTCCAAAAACTAAAGTTAAACCCCCTAGCTAAAGCAGCGCTTCAAAATGCACCCAAGAAAAAACTATTAAAAAACGGTGTGAAAGAAGTCAAGCCGAGAAAAAGGAAATATAAATTAAAAACCGAATCGGATTTAAAGAAAGAACCTGAAGATGCTCCTCCAGTTTTAGAACCCATCTTCCCTTTAGAAGAAAACGTTTTGGGCAAAAGAGGCCCCAAGAAGAGAGTTAAGAAAATCATCAAAAATGAAGCTCCAGAATTAATTGAATGCGCTAAAATTAAACAAGAAAATGACCAAGACCCTCCGAGCGATGTGACAGACGTATCTTTTAACGACCTACCCAGCCTTTCGAAACAAGTCAAAAAGACCAGAGTAAAGAAACAAAAAATCGACAATGAAACTCTTGAAGACGTAATGAACGATTTGACCTACCTCATTAAAGCAGAGGACATCAAGAAGGAAGTAGTGGATACTGTATCCGAATCGGACAAAAGCGATAGCGCGACTAAACCTAAAAAATTAACAAAGAAACAAAAAATAGAATTACTAAAAAAGAAAATGATTAAAAAAGAAAACATAGAAAACACCCTTTCGAAGCTAGATTCAGCCGATGAGAAAATTATAGATATGCTAGATCTGAACGTAAATATGTTAAAGAAAAAATCTCCCATTACTAATAGAAGACACAGCATCGAAAAATGCCCGATAGGTCCAGTAGAAGCTCCAGGAGACACTATAAAAGTTTTCAGTCACTTACCTAGAAGCATAAGCCCTAGGGCTAAGCGCAAAGGTAAGCAAGACAGTCTCAGCAGAAGATCTAGCCCTTACAGCACCAGATCTGACTCGCCTGCCAGAATTTTAAGAAACGGCAAACAAAGAAAGCTCAAGGATATGGGTCTTCTAGAGGGTTTAGATTTGGAATTTAGGAAAAGACGACGGCTCTGTTCAGATTCTGGTTCAAAATTATCAGGTTACGAATCGGATAGCAGCTTTTCTGATTTAGCTTCATTGCATGGTACTGAAAGTAACGAAGCTACTAAATGTGACGATAAAGATATTAAACCTAGTATCAGCACTGCCTCCAATGGACCAATAGATAGCTTAGGATTAATAGATTCTAATTCAAATATATACAGTAATGCAATTATTGAAACTACGAATGTAACTGAGGATTCTTTGTCTGATAAGAACGTTCTCCTAGATATAATGAAACAGACTTTCAATAACGAAGTGGATTTAAAGAAAACGGGCAAATTCAAAGTCGGCACCGTTGTGGCCTCTAGGTTTTACGGTAGACGAACTACAGGGACTTCACAAGTTAAACCCGAAACGATTCTAAAAGAAGAAATCAAAGAAAAAATAGCGGACGAGGCCCCAGTTATGGATGACAACTGTAGCGCCGTTACCGAAGATTTAGCAAAGACTAATGATGAAATTGGTGAAAATAAACAAAATTTAACTGATAATTCGCAAATTTTAACAGACGATTCGCAAATTTTAACAGACGGTTCGCTAATTTTAACAGATGATTCGCAAATTTTGATTGATAATTCGCAAAACTTAACAGATAATCTTCAAAATATAACGAATAATTCGGAAATTACAACTGATTTACCTGAAATTACAACTGATTTACCCAAAATTACAACTGATTTACCCAAAATTACAACTGATTTACCCAAAATTACAACTGATTTACCTGAAACTACAATTGATTTACCTAAAATTACAACTGATTTACCTAAAATTACAACTGATTCACCTAAAATTACAACTGATTTGCCTAAAATTACAACTGATTTACCTAAAATTACAACTGATTTAACTGAAATTTCAACCGTAAAACCAGAAATTGTAAAGGAAGATTTGGCAGAACCAATGGTGACTTCAGAAGATGTTGCTTGTGAAAATATTGAATCAATGGAAGAAGATGAAACTGTTCAAAAAAGCTGCATACCTGAACCTATGGAATGTGAAGATCTTAACATTGTTCAACCCATAATTGAAAATTTTGTTGAAAAAGAACTTCCTTTAAAAATAGAACCGCTAATTGAGGTTCCCGATAAAGTTATCGAACCAGAACCACCAGCAGTCATTGAAGAAGCGACTACTGAACTAATCGATACCAACGTTAATAATGTTGAAACAGAAAGTGTAGTAACTGAAAATATAACAAACAATGTGGATACACTAAACGAATCTATTCCTTATGATAGTTTAGTAATTGATTCTGAATCTATTCCTACGTTAGAGGACCAAATTCCTGGACCTAGTACTAGTACGACTGAAAATAGTAATGCTGTGATTGAAAATATTGAAGACTTAAACGCTGAAGTTGAATCTGCAGAACAAATTGCCGAGAAGGAGAGCATTCTGAAGGTAAATGTCCTTTTAACTATTATTTTCATCAAAGTTCTAAATGGTGTCTTTATATTTTCAGGCATTGGGCCTTCAGAGATCATCGCAATTGGCTGAAGAAGCAAAACAAAAGACTAAAGAGAAATTCGCGTGTGTGACGGGCGACAGTTACACTGGCACACTAAAGACTGTGATCAAAATTAATCGTGATAAGAAGAAGGGAGGACGGGGTTCTATCAAATCTTCGGGGCAAAAAGGCAAAGTCAAAAGTAACCCGAGCACTGAAGATGAACAAGTGGTTACGGAAGAAACTAAGGAAAAAGGAAGCAAAGAGAAAGAGGTAAGTTAAAAAGATTGAGTACTTTTATGTGGTATTTTAAAAATCTATATCTTTTTACCAAGACGGTCAAAAAATTCAGCGTTTTTTTTAGAAAATGTTATAACTTCTTGATTTTCATTACATTAGTTTAAAAAAAAAATAGTAAGAACCGTTTTCGAGATATCTTGAAATAAATACATTGCTTGTGTACATGACAGGCTTCAAGAGTGTTAGTTATGCAAATTTTGATTGTTAGTATCTCGTTTCACAGACGGTCAAAAAATTTTTTTTAGTTACGTAAAAGACACTTTCATTAACCTTATATTTCAATTTTATTGAATTCTTTAGAAAAGCTGTTTTACGAATGAACTACCTTAAAATGACATTTTTACATTAACAATGTCATTTTAATGTTCGCTTAGTAATTCAAATTTTGTTACAATAAACAAAAGTAATTATCTTCACACTATACAGTGGACCACAATTAAAATTCACCATTGGTACCAGATTTGTCTGAGAAATGTACCAGATTCCATAAAAATGTATCTTATTTTTCGAATTGTGATGGTTTGGTACATTGAAGAGAACATTTTGTAAAAAAAAAATTGTAATAAAAATTTGATCCAAAAAAATTTTTTACAAAAAAATGTCAGAAAAAATAATTATTGTCAAAAAAATTATTGTCAAAAAAAATTGCCAAAAAAATTATAAAAAAAATTTTTGTCCATACACTCAATATACTTCCACTGCTCGCCAAGCGCATGTCATATTATATATTACTAGCTGTTGCCCGCGACTTTGCTCGCATTTACTCGTGTTATTAATATAAAAAAATACATGACTTCCTTTTTCATTAATTTTTATTTATTTTTACTCATTTTTACTCATTTTTAATTATTTTTATTCATTTTTACTAATTTTTATTCACTTATATTCATTTTCATTCATTTATTTTTATTCATTTTTAATAAAAAAATTTTAATTTTAGTATATTTTTATGATACTACCATACAAAAATATAAAAACCACAAAGCACGTCATTATTTATTTGTGCTACAATTATAATTTTCAAGTTCCAACGTTCAAAAAATTTATACTTTTATACAAATTTTTACCCCCGTTTCCCCCCTTAAAATGTGAAAATCCAAAAACCATGAAACACATCATTTCTGATTTTTAATCAGTAGCTGTAATTCAAATTTTTATGTTTCAAAATTTAAATAACAAAAAATATATACATACTATTAAACAAATTTTCACCCCCATTTCCCCCCATAAAATGTTAAAATGCAAAAACCGTGAAACACTTATTATTTATTTATGATGAGAACCTACGATTCCAATTTTTAAGTTCCTACCTTTAAAAAATCGACATTTCCAAATAAACCTTTCACCCCCCCCCCCCTTAAAATGTGAAAATCCAAAAACCCTAAAACACGTCATTATTAATTTGTACTCATAGGCTGCAATTCCAATTTTCATATTTCTAACTTTAAAGAGAACAAAAAAATATATACTCCCATACAAACTTTCACTCCATGTTTGCCCCCCTTAAGATGTAAAAATATAAAAACCCTAAAACACATTATTATTAATTTGTACTCATTAGATGCAATTCCAATTTTCATGTTTCTAACTTTAAAGAGAACCAAAAACATGAATATTTCCAAATAAATGTTCAACCTCCCATTTCCCCCCCTTAAAATCTAAAAATCCAAAACCCTAAAACACATTATTATTAATTTGTACTCAGTAGCTGCAATTCCAATTTTCATGTTTTTAACTTTAAAGAGAACCAAAAACATGGATACTCCCAAATAAATTTTCACCCCCCCCCCCCCCCTAAAATGGGAAAATCCAAAAACCCTGAAACACGTCATTAATAATTTGTAATCAGTACCTGCAATTCCAATTTTCATGTTTCTAACTTCATAGAGAACAAAAAAAATCGATAGTCCCTTACAAACTTTCACCCCCCGTTTCCCCCCCTTAAAATGTAAAAAATCAAAAAATCCAAAAACCCTGAAACACTTCATTTTTTTATTTTTGCTCAGCAGCTGTAATTTAAATTTTCATGTTTCTAACTTTAAAGAACAAAGAGTTTCATTAAAAGCTCCTTCCCCCATTTCCCCCTTTATAGTTAAAATTTCCAAAAATCTTTTCTTAGCGGATGCTTACGTTATAAAATAAACCTATGTTCCAAATTTCAGCTTTCTAGGCCTAGTAGTAGTTTTGGCTGTACGCTGATAGGTCAGTCAGTCAGGACAAACAATTTTATATATATAGATAGATTGGCATGTCGGTGTCGCTAGCTGGGAAGATTTTAACCATCCGAAAAACGCACTTGTCTATAGAAGTTTTCACTTAAAAAATTTTGTCCAAAAAAAATTTGTAAAAAGAATTTGTCAAAAAAAAATATTTACCAAAAAAATTATAAAAAAAAATTTATCCAAAAAAAATATGTCAAAAAAAAAAAAGCTTTTATCGAGAACGAACACAAATAATTTGACTTGACTTAAAGTTCCTAAAAATTATTTGCCATTTTTATTCATTAGTTGTATATAGAGTGTGTCAAAATGCGAGGTTAGGATTTTTTTTTTTTTTTTTTCAAAATTAATACCATCAATTAATTATTCATTCCTTTATTTTTTTATTTCATTTATAGCGATTACTTGTGACGTCGGAAAATAGAAAACCATCTATTATTTCTGAAAAATGGGTTAACAAAATTTAAATTAGCATTTTACTCTAAATAAGTTCATATTTTTAAAAGCCAATTAAAAAATGTAAATAAATATATCATTTCCCATGATAAAACCATCAAAATATGGAGTAATAATACGTTTTGGTACAGGGAATGCAAAAAAATATATAAAGATATAAATTTATTTATTTACTTGTAAAAATTGAGAATATCGTAACCTCGCGTTTTGACACACCCTGTATACATCATAGCAAATAAATGTAAAAGCAAAACATTTGTAGAAGCCTATTAAAATTGTTTGACGATGTGAACATAATCAAAACTGATGGAACACACTGTACATAAATAATAAACTAACATGTTCGTATCGCTGGATAGCTAAATTTATAAATAATATACAGGGTGTTGCATTTGAATAAATTGAACTTAAAATGAACAATATTTATAGCAGGTTTCAAAACTATACGTATAAAATGAACCAGTTCGTTAGCCTGATATTTTATAAATTTGTAATTTAAATAATTTATAAATTATTGATAACGTTCCCAAAATACGATAATTTTATTTGGGGTCTGTATCATTCTCTAATTTCACAAAAAAATGAATTGCTTGGCAACCTTGTAATATTTTTAAAAAATATTCTATGGTTGGATACAGTATTACTAAAATATTTTAAACCTGAAATAAAATACAGTGTTTCATTTAAAAAATATACGTTCTATTTGCTAGGCAAAAGCATAACACCCTGTATATCCAAAAATAGTTTTATATATAACTTTTATTTGAAACTCGTTTGCGTATACAGGGTTGGCCAAACTTCTGTCGTAGTTCTATAACTCCTATTATGCATATCTTAACGATTTATTCGAAGTATACCTGTCAATGGTGGTCAAAACCAAATATCCCAAAATTATTTTCTTGTGTACAGGGTGGCCCAATAGTAAATTAGGCAAATCACTTATTTTTTTTTAAATGGAATGACTCAACTTTTTTTCCAATTTTAGGTACTCTATGGTCACTAGTGCATACCCACAAAATATTGTTTCTAACATCCTACCCCTTTCGCAGAAAAAGAAGAAATACTAAAAAATATTACATTTTCAGACGCCTATTAAAATATGCAGTGCTCCCTCGAATTTGACGTTAGAATTTAAAAAACTACAAATGTATAAAGCCAATAGACCAAAGATTTTTTTAGACCAAGTTTTAATTTTTTATTTTGTACAGGGTGGTCACAAATTAATTTCAATTTCCAAAAATTTCTAGGACATTTTTTTCAAATTTTTCAAATAGAACACCCTGTATTACTATTCATCGATGAAACGAGAATTTTATACCCTTCGACTTCCCCATGTACTTTCCTATACCTATCTGTCGTCGTTTAAAAGTAAATTCCAAAAAGACATTGATCTATCAAAAATCCAATTTCTACCAGTGGTTTTATTGAAAGTGAACATTCAATCAAGTAGGCTGGGTCTTAATGCAGTGTCAGATTATTTATTAATGAAGTGTCAAGTTATTTTTACTGATCGCGATAATTCTTTTATTAATAATGAATTTTACGAAAAACGAATTAATTGACATGGTCTATGTTTAGGGAGAATCCGACAGAAATTGTTTATTGGCAAAAATAATTTATCATCAACGATATCCCGATAGACGCATCCCTGATCAAAAAAGTTTTGAAAAGTTACATGAAAGATTTACCGAAACAGGAAATGTTGCTTATAAAAAACCAATAATTGACAAACGTGCTACTGATAATGATAACCAATTATCTGTAATTTTGACAGCGATAGAAGATCCTCATGTAAGTCAAAAAAAGATTGCCGAAGTTGTAGGTATAAGTAGAACATTCGTTAGAAGGATTTTAAAACAGCATCAATATCATCCTTATAAAATACAATTGCATCAAGAGCTGAAAGACACCGATTTTGATAATAGAATGGTGTTTTGTAACTGGGCACAAACTAAACTGCAACAAAATCCATTTTTTTTATAGAGTGCTGTTTTCTGATGAATCTACATTCCACAAGAACGGATTCGTTAATAGACATAATTTCCACTATTATTCCACGGAAAATCCTAACATCATCAGAACACATAGCCAAGAAAGATGGAGTGTAAATGTTTGGGAGGTATAATTGGGGATAATGTTATTGGGCCGTATTTTTTTGAAGGCAACTTAAATGGTCTGATGTATTTAGATTTTTTAGCAAATCATCTTCCTACTTTACTTGAAAACATTTCCCTTGCTGTAAGACTAACAATGTGGTACCAACATGATGGGGCAGCAGCGCATTTTTTACGCGAAGTGGCAGATGAATTAGATGAAAAGTTTCCAAATAGATGGATTGGTAGAAATGGTCCAAAAAAATGGCCAGCTCGATCACCTGACTTAACAAAATCCGATTATTTTTTGTGGGGTTATATTAAAAATCTAGTCTATCTTACGCCACCTACAACACCTGAAAATATGAAAGAAAGGATAGTGCAAGCTTTCCATTTCATTACACCTGATATGCTTAGAAACGTTTCTCGATCATTCGCCCAACGAATAAATGTATGCATTAGAGAAAATGGCAGACATTTTGAGCATCTTTTATAAAATGTAAATTTATGTTTTAGGATAAATTTTATTATCGTAATTTTCTTCCTTCTGAATTTATTTTATAACGGCGACAGATAGGTATAGGAAAGTACATAGGGAAGTGGAAGGGTATGAAATTCTCCTTCAGTTGATGAATAGAAATACAGGGTAATACATTTGAAACATTTTAAAAAATTTCCCTCGAAATTTTTGGAAAGTGAAATTAATTTGTGACCACCCTGTACAAAATAAAAAATTCAAACTTGGTCCAAAAAAATCTTTGGTCTATTGGCTTTATACAATCGTAGTTTTTTCAATTCTAACATCAAATTCGAGAGAGCACTGCATATTTTAATAGGCGTCTGAAAATGTAATATTTTTTGGTAATTTTTTTTTTTCTGCGAAAGAGGTGGGATGTTAGAAATAATATTTTGTGGGTATGTACTAGTGACCATAGAGTACCTAAAATTGTAAAAAAAGTTGGGTCATTCCATTTAAAAAAAATTAAGTGATTTGCCTAATTTACTATTGGGCCACCCTGTACATAAGAAAATAATTTTGGGATATTTGGTATTGGCCACCATTGACAGGTATACATCAAATAAATCGTTAAGATTTGCATAGTAGGAGTTATAGAACTACGACAGAGGTTTGGCCAACCCTGTATAAATGATAATTTGTACATGGCTCACGCCAATTTGGCAACACAGTCGAACCTTTTCTCATTTAAAATACATTGCCCTATGATACCTGTACTGCATTTTAATTGTGGTCTGAACTATATAATTAATAATTGTTTGTCTATCTGAAACGTTCCGTATGTAAGAAAATTATTATTTTGCAGATATCGCCATCTTGGAAACAAGGAACGCAATCTTCAGATACAGCTGGTGCGCACAGAAAGTCTCATTATTCTAACAGATCTAACCTGGGTAATTATTCGGTTATGGGCCTCTTATCTTCTTCTTTTCTATTTAAATACATTAATTTCTTTTAAGTTTGTTTGCACCTGTTTTTAATACTAAATTGCTACTATTGTATCCACTTGAAAGTCTGATTATTTTGGTGAAATTGTAAAGTAGTTGTAAATGTCTTATTAAAGTCACACTTTCAAGTGAATCACAGTTTATGTGGAAAAAAGTTTAACTATTTGGGTATTGGAAAAAAGTATTAATACTTATTGTCGAAAGAACTGGAAGTTCGTTTTTTCTAAATAATGTAATTTTTAATAAAGAATAAAATGCATGCTAAAATAGTTAGTCAAATATTTTATGTTTTTAAATAGGTCATTAGAATTTTTAAATTACCGACGGCAATAATGGAACACTTCAAAAATAGTATGTTAAAAAAATTAAGTTTAAAAAAAGTTGGATTTGATAAGATGTGCCACTGTTAACTTACAAATTTCTGACACTGATGAATTAAAAACAACACACTTTTTATTAATTCATTAACTTAATATATAAAAATACAAAATAAAGTAAATAAATATTTTTATTTCATATTTGGTACCTCAATTTGTAAGGGAATCACAAATTGTGAGCTTATTTTTTTTATCACTTAAAATGTAAGTCTATACTGGCATATTTAAAAAAGTGTCCCTATTTTTCGACACTTGCATACTAAATTAATTCGCTCACTCCAAAAGTGTCACTATTGCCCAAACATAACGAAATCTTCTCTAACATTGTAAATTGCATACTGATCATGTGTCACTATTGTTGCAACTTAAATACAAAACTTATTATGATGCTCCAGTGACTCATTCACCATCTTGGGAATATATGTTAACTAAAATTGTGCCAGTCTTACTCCAAAAAGATATTAAATTTAACTTTTGATGCTAACTATATTTTTTTATGATTTACAAAAAATTTTAGTTGTGTCACTATTGCTTTCGATGAGCGATTTTGAGAAAATATCTTTAATTATTGACTAATTATTTTTATAAAACCGTAAAATTTACTATTAGTTTTGGTTCTAAATATCTTTAACTAGTCCTCTTTCATTATCATTATTTTAATGTTTAAAACGAACCTTCTTCCGTGCAGATGGCAGCAGCGAACATACGTCAGACGGTGAAGCTGCGCCTCCAGATGGTGCTATCAAAGCCTTGGTTATACCAGAAAAAGCTAGTTCGTTTAGTATACATCCTGGACGGTTATGCAAAGACGAATGCTCTTATTGTTTCGGAAAATTCGGGCTTTTTGACACTCCCTGTCATATTGCCCAGATGAAGAGCGTCGACAGGCAAAATAAGATATTAGCAAGTAAGTATGCTTAATATCTTTTTATAAATATCTTTTAACTTCCACAAGCTTTTAAAATCTTGACAATACTCCAACTGTAAATAATGGTTTCTTTATGAACATTTTGAAAAAGATTCAATAATAATAATAATGAGAATAATAATAATAATTTTCATTCATAGTGAAATTTTATTATAAGTATGTTGATGACATGTAGACATTATGGACAGGTAGTTTACATTTGTTAAATAATTTCTTAACGTACATAATTTACTTTATACAGAGTGTTTCAGATTTAAACGGACACAGATTACTGGGAGGTAGAGTACACTTAGCTGAGTTCAAAACACTCCCATACTTAGCCTTTAATCTCACTTGTTTCTGAGATATAGGGTTTTTTATGATTTTTTGCCAAAACTAAAGTCGGCCATTTTGTTTGAACGGCTAGAGATATATTGATAAAATTTTGTACAAAAGTTACACTCTCTTAAGTTAATCAAAGCCATAATTTAATTTTAAAAAAATACAGGACTGGACTCTCTTTTTTTTATATTGCTCTTCTTAGCTAGACTATCACCCTGTATATCGAATAGTGTATAAAATAATGTAATAATATTTAATAGCACCATCTTGATTTTCTTACAGTAAATTTTTATAATGTCTACTATAATATTATAAATCAGTATTTACAAAATTGAAATCAAATATTTTACTCTGTATTTTTAAAACTTTATACAAATTAGGTACCATCTTCATTCATTTTTAACTACTGCATTTTCCAAAGGGAAATTGAACATCTACACAGGACCGGGCTCACTTCATTTGATAAAGTAACAGAACAAACTAGCAGAAACAAATAGTTAATTAAAACTAAAGTAGATTTTCAAAATGAACACCGTGAACGTCAATACACCTCTAAGAACGTTTTAACAGGTTTTTAACTGATTTGTCAATTATTTCCTGTTTATTTCTAATGTTGTTACATACATTAGTAATTTTTTCCAATAACTGTGCTGGACAAAAAGTATTCATTTCTTCGTTGTTCACCTCTGATTTAAGGTAGCCCCATAAAAAATAATCCAGAGGTGTTAGACCTGGAGATCTTGGTGACCAATTGACGGGACCGCCTCGACCTATCCATCTATTTGGGAAACTGTGATTTAAATGGTCTCTGACCAGTATTTTAAATTGAGGTCCAGTATCATTGTGTTGAAACCACATTCCTCTGGTATTAATCCTTCAAAAACATGAGGTCCTATTAAATGATTTTTATAAATACCACACCATACATTTATAGAAAATCTATATTGAGAATGTTTTTGTGATACAATGTGAGGATTTTCATTTGCCCAAATATGACCATTCCTAGTGTTATTGATCTCGTCACGTGTAAATTGGGATTCATCAGTAAATAAAATTCTCGATATTGTTCTTCTGTGGGCCAAAGTCCATCTACAGAAAGTTAAGCGGGGTACGTCGTCTCCGTGTTCAAGTCGCTGTACTTTATGTAAATGAAATGGATGCAAATTTTCTTTTTTTAAAGTTTTCCATACTCTTGTTATTGGTACTGCTAATTCGTTACTAATTCTTCTTACACTGATAGAAGGATTATTTCGAGCTATCTGTAGAATCTGTAGTTCATGTTTAACTGTAGTTGGAAACTTTCCATGTTGCTTACTGAATTCGAAAACCTGCGAAAATGCGATTAGGAAAGCGTCTGCGATACTCTTACTGCTGCTCTACCGTTTCCATTACAAAAACCGAACACAAAAATAATGTCTGCATATTCTTCATTACTAAATTGAAACGGCATCCTGAAATACTTATTTTCATATACTTATGAACAAAAGTAATTTAGCTCAAAATACTGTACATAAAATAAATTATATTTGACACAAGCCTACTGGTATTATACAATTTTACATTAATCATGTTTAGGACGGAATGAGTGATGGTGTAATTTGGCGCATATTGGCAGTTGAATAAATTGAGTTTTCAGCTCGTTTAAAAAATACCTAATTTTTTCAACTTTTTAATTTGATTTCATCAGAGTTTTAGTTCATTTTAATTTCCAAATATAATCATCTTTCTGTTAGTGTAAGAATTAGCAATGAATAAGCGGTACCTAGGTACCAGAAACAAGTGTATGGAGAACTTAAAAAAAATTATATCTATTTTATGTACAAAAAGTACAGCGACTTGATCACACATAAAATCACTTAATACACAAGCACAGTTATTGAAAAAAATTAACAATGTATGTAACAACATTAGAAATAAATCGAAAATAATTGACAAACCGGTGAAAAACCTATTAAAAAGTTCGCAAAGGTGTATTGACTTTCACGGTGTTGATTTTGAAAAACTTTTAATTAATTATTTGTTTCTGTTAGTTTGTTCTTTTACGTTACTAAATAAAGTGAGCCCGGTCCTGTGTAGATGTTCAATTTCCTAATGAAAAATGCTGTAGTTTAAAAAAAATGTAATATGGTACCTAATTTGTGTAGAGTTTTAAAAGTACAGAGTAAAATATTTGATTATAATATTGTAAATACTGATATATAATATAGTCGCCATTATAAAAATGTACTGTAAGAAAATCAAGATGGCGCCATTAAATATTGTTACATTATTTTATATATTGATCCACGTACTATTTAAATATACAGAAACATTTATTAAAATCCGATATAGAATAGCTAGAATATCACCCAGCTAAGAGCAATGTAAAAAAAGAGAGTTCGGTCCTGGAATTTTTTAAAATTAAATTATGGTTTTGATTAACCTAAGAGAGTGTAACTTTTGTACATAACTTTATCAAAATGTCTCTAGCTGTTCAAACATAATGGCAGATTTTAATTTTGCTAAAAAATTATAAAACACCCTATATCTCGGAAACGGGTAATATTAAAGGCCAAGTATAAGGGTGTTTTGAACTCAGCTAAGTGTACTCTACCTCTCATTAAGCCGTGTCCGTTTAAATCTGAAACCCCCTGTACAATAAATTATATAAATCACTAAATTTTCAAAAACTGAAAATGTCATAAAAATAACTTTTTGATTGCAAGTTAGGAAAAATATACAAGCTATATGGTATAGGCACAGCGAGTGCACGTCCATCACTTTACTTTTGTACAACACCAATATCTGCATACTTACCACCTCTCCTGCTGCATACTGTATCAATCATCAATCTTCAAACTAAAGTTTAGTCAAAGGTTTAATAATTGACAAATCATTTTTAATTCTTCGAATGACTATTGTGAAGATAATTTATTAGCCATTATTCTAAAAGCAGAAGTAAAATTCTGACTTTTGCGTGTCGGAATACTTAAAGGGTTTATTGTCCGGAGAACAATATCTCAGTACGTGTATTTTAAAAAGTTTTCATTTTGATTGTGCCGATTTGTCATAAATTCGCAAAACTCCATTAGTCTGAAATTGATCTCTCGGGAAAAATGTCTTAGATTTGCTGGACTTTAAAGCATTGGTATCCATTCCTTTTCAGTATATTTCGTACATCTCTGGGCCTGATGTTAACTTGTTCAGATATTTCTCCACAAGAGGAAGATTAGCCGATTTCAGTAATTAGGTAGACTTCAAGTTCTCGATTTTTACGTTCCTCATTAATTCGCCCTCTTACTGCAATTTTTGTCAATGTTGTAGACATCCAAAACTTTAAAGTTTTTAATAAGTCTTTTAATTCATTGTCGAACTCTGTGGAATCGACGTACCTGCAGTAGCGTAGGTTATTGTGTGCAAGAGACGAGCAGTAAATGACTGACCAATGTATTGTACATGTTAATATAGTAGTCTACACCATATGGCTCGTATACTTTTTTCCTAATATGTATATAGAAAACCAACACATACAGGTTCGGTTACAGATAAAATACTGCTTATGTGTTTTTATGAAGATATTCACAATACCGGCAAGTTTTAAAATTTGTGGGTTAGGCAAAGATGCCACTAAGCCGATCATATATATTTTTTTAATTTTTAATTCAGCTTCTCTTATATAGATGTTACTAATAGTAATCATTCTTAAATTCAAGTAACAAATATTCCTTTTAGTTGGTCTAGCAATTTTGTTCATTGTCGTATAGTTACATTGTTAATGTCCTATATTACGTATTTTTTTAAATATTTAAAAAGAAATTGACTATTTCTTATATTTTTTATTTTTGTGGTTTTCCTAGTGGAAAGAGGAGAATATGGTGAGTTTTAAACAATTTTTTTACCTCGTCATTTCAATTTTTAGTTTTTTCTCATTGTCTAGATTCACTATCACCTTTTTTTGTAATTTTCATTGAAATTCACCTGCTGTGTTAGTTACATTAATTTTGTTACATTGTTTACATTTTTAATTTAGTAAATAATTAATATCATTAAATTTTTTGATAAATTTGTTTTTACGAAATTTTGTATTAATCCACATTGTTTCTCTTCATCCACTAGGTATGCCAGAGAGTGAAGTAATTTTGGACTTTAAAACTGGTCGCAATTGTAAAATACCTTTGTGAGATTTGAAGAACTATTTATTTTGTTTGTTCACCTTAACTCAATCATACTTTACTTTCACGTCTTTATCTACTTCATCATTTTAAAACAATATACAATAGACAGTCTTCGTCCTTGCCCTTGACTGTATAGGGGAGCCCTTGGACAATCTCCTATCCGAATCATTTAATGCACAGTGTTCAATGTTGTAATTTAGGTAACATCTCATCATAACGATATTATATGTTAATTGTAAGGGTTACTTGCCTGTAATTGGCAGTAATTGATCTGAATTTGTAGTTGTGTTTGTCGTTAGTTGTGATTTGTCTCCCTGAAAAGGCATGATAAAAAACAGGGATCCTTAAATGCTCTCAACTCACACATAGCCACCTTCTTTACTTACTTTCTTTCAAAACCTCTATTTACATATGTACATTCTAACAAATAATTTACAATTAATAAATTAAATGGGATAAAGCAGCATAGTTCTGTACTATTCTCCTCCATTTTGTCCCTATAATAGAGCCATGACTGATGTTCAAGCCGTAATTTAATTCATGTTAATTTACTCTTGTGATTGTATCTATCATCTCCTTGCCTATCGGCATCATATGAAAATTTGGGTAACTTTTACGATCGGTATTTAAACTGTATTATCTGATTTTAGTTGTCCTTGTTTCATGACCACCTTCAGTATCAAATTTGGTTTGACTGTAAGTTTTCTACCATTCTGATTTGTGCCAGTATTCCTGCAACCCCTTACGATTACAAGAAGTAAATTTTGAACACTGACTAGATTTTCTGTTAAGGCAGACTGAGTTTGAAGTCTAGAGAGTCCAATCTCTAATTTAAATAACTTGTTTAGTCTTCAGTCAGATTAACGGAGACCTTTAATCTTCAGTCCGACCATTATTTTAAATGCATCCGTCTTGAAAAACTGTTATTTGTATTTTTTTGGTTTAGCGGAAAAACACCTTACAAGAGACTCCTGCCTTTGTGACGCGTGCTACAGGCACGTAGACAGAAAATCAAATACTCCTTCCTACATGAATAAATCTATGAAACGAAATTCGTTAGTGGCACCAGGTCCGAGGCAAAATCACTGCCACGTTCTAGGTTGCCATAGAGAATCTTCTAACATTCTGAGGCGGAAGTGGATCATTAAAATGAGAAAAAGTATCTGCCAAGTGGTAAGAATGCTAAACGATTCGAAATTATGACCAATGGTTTGATTAATACTTGATTACAGATTAATTTAGACTTGGATAATCCCGGTCTCCATTCGATACCAATCTGCGAAGACCATTATGCGGCTCTTGAACACCTAATGATCTGCGCGATGTGCAAAAGAAGACTAGCCAGGAACCACATCCATTATTTAGGTCCGGAAACCGTTGATCTAAACAACGCGCTTAACGCGAACAGTATACCGCTAACGTTAAACGATAAACCGGTGGTGTGCAAACTTTGTAAATGTTTCGCTTCCATCATCCTTAAAGATCCATCCGAGAGACCGGAAGCTAGCAAAAATTTCTTCGTGGAGTATAAAAGACGGCTACTGCATTTCAACGATATCGTTCCGATGGACGAATCGGCTGCAGAAGAACCGATAGCCGTACCTAGTAAAGCAGACCGAATGGATATGCTGAAGAGGAAGAAGAAGATGATGAAGAGCGCTGACGAGAATACGGAAGATGAGCATGACGGACACGAAAAGAGGGGAGAACGGGTGCCTTCTACGGATACGAACAGCCAACCGCAATCTCGTTCTGAGTCTCCAAATGATGATTACAATGGTGTTGATTACAATACCCTTATACCTGCCATTGCTATGGAGGAGGGAAGCGATAGTGATAGTAAAAAAGACAGTAAAACGCCGGTTAATATAAAAAAATTCAATGAAATGGTAAGTTTAGAACTTTCTAAGGTTCCGAGTCAATAGTAACACAACTACAAATATTTTATTTTATCTTTCCAGCAAAGAGAAGGAGTCGAAATAGTACGAGTAGCTAAAAATGAAAGGCCCAAGTCGGAATCTGTGCTCAAAAAATTTGGATACGGACCTTCGGTGTCTGTGCGCCAGTTGTTTTCTGGCGAAGAAGATCTACCTCTTGTCGGTACCGTCGATTTCAATAACGTCAAGGAAAAGACGGTTGAAGGATGGGAAAAATGTTCGACTGTTATACAGTATGACGATGAAACTAAAAGATTATGGCAGGAATTACAGAAACCATACGGCAATCAAAGCAGCTTTTTGAGGCATCTTATTCTTTTAGAAAAGTATTTTAGGTAATTATTAAGTGTTAATATTTTTAAGATGTCAGTTGAATTAAATACAGTTAATACATGGGTACTTGAAATACATGTAGATATTAAAATATTAATATTTAGATCTTTTAGAATATGAAAAAATATCAATAATTGAAGGAGTTACGTTTTGAATATTTATGATAAATCAGACATAGGTCATATGAGGTCATGGACACTGAATGCCTAAGTCTCATTTTTTGTCTGAAATTTTAATCTAGATACTCCTGTAACGTTTAAAATTGTCGTTAGGTTGCATATGCAACATTATACCTGCAAGAATTCACCCTTGCAGATTTATGATTAAGCCAATCAACTCTTACCTTAGGGACGGATATCTCTGACTATTTGTGTAATCACATGTGGCTGCGACGAGTTGGTTTATTTTAATCAAACATCACCTTAGAATAAGCAGACTTATTTGTCTCTGGAATGATTATAACATAATTATCATTGTGTAGTCTTCGTAAAACTCAAGTCAGCTGTTAATCTAGACACGGTTTTGGACAGTGTCACTGTTGTTCAAAGCCGTCGTTGCTGCCATGAGTCGGGAGATGCGATAGTAAGCTCTTGATAGCCGAATTTTCAAGGTTCCGGCAATCGTGGCGTAACGTGCATTTTTAGCCGCTCAAATTACTAGAGAAAAATTCGACTCACCTTGTTTAATTATACGGAAAAAAGATAAACTGTAATTTATTGTTGATAAGCTTTTAAAGCCATTATTTTTGTCGTAAACTGGCTTATGGGTTACATTTGACTTAAAAGACACACGAATTTCAAAATATTTTTTGTACTATTAGAAAGTGGAGAAGTTATATATCATGAAAATTAAAAAAAATTTGGAGATTATCCACGATTAGGCAAGAAATTTAATGTTAAAATCTAAAAAATTGCACATTTTTAATCAAATCTTTTGACATATGTGTACAGGGTTGCCAAGTATTTTAGTATGTAAGAAGAACTAACTTTTAAACTCGTAAATTATCATATTTTTATGATTAGTTTATGTAAATAAATAATAATAGAATTTTATGATAAAATGCCTGAATCTGTATCAAACATCGCTCACAGATCAAAGAATATTATCTGTTCATATCAGCTTATATAATTGTTTCTAAAATTAAACACTAATCCTTTATTGTAAGTTTTTTTGACTCATTCAACATAACTGTTCACTCTAAATTCTCCGCTACTCGATCATACTTACAGTATGTCGCTAATGTATGGAATAAATTCATTATAATGGAAGTAGCTGGTTTTTCGAAAAAATGCTCGGACAGGTCAATTTTGTTTACTTAAAGCGCAATTTTTTAAATAAAATTCAATTTTCCCCCACTTCCCATTTTTGGGCAGTGACGTCATTGACCATTTTTTTAAATAGCAACCCCAATTTTTTTTTTTTTATTTTGATAGATCTTGCAATTTCCTACTTGGAAACGTAATATTTGAAATATCTGACAACAATTTTTTTTGAAAAAAAGTCATTTCAAGATCAGATACATAAATTTTATGTTATTTTGAAACACAATAAATTAATAAAAGATAATTATTTGTAATTAAGTGCTTAATTAAAAAAAAAATAATAATAATAATAAAACGAATTTAATGACAATTTCACAAATTCTTTTTATTATTATTTTTTTTATTATTTTGTTAGATTAAGCATTTAATTACAAATAATTATCTGTTATTAATTTATTGTGTTTCAAAATAACATAAAATTTATGTATCTGATCTTGAAATGACTTTTTTTCAAAAAAAATTGTTATGTCAGATATTTCAAATATCATGTTTCCGAGTAGGAAATTGCAAGATCTATCAAAATCAAGAAAAAAAAATTGGGGTTGCTATTTAAAAAAATTGTCAATGACGTCACTGCCCAAAAATGGGAAGTGGGGGAAAATTGAATTTTATTTAAAAAATTGCGCTTTAAGTAAACAAAATTGACCTGTCCGAGCATTTTTTCGAAAAACCAGCTACTTCCATTATAATGAATTTATTCCATACATTAACGACATACTGTATATACGGCCTGGAATCATTGCAGCTCAAATAGTATAATCGATATCAAATATCACTCCCCAACCTCTAACATAGATGAAACAATACAATATGATCATATCAGCTTAAACAATATATATTACAAATGGAAATTTTTCAAAAAATTGGATTAATTAAAACAAATAAACAAGAACAAATTAAACATATAAACAAAGAACCATTAATATTTTTGTGATATGTGCAAAGTTAAATTTTTTAATCTATCTTTGGCACTTTTTCCATATCTTTCCTTCCACATAAAAGTCTTCCGGCAAAAATTTAGAATTCATGACACCAAGTTGTCTAATATAACGTTTTAAGCATGACCAATAACCCTCCACATGGTTCGTACAGACACCTGTCTCGGGATCTCGAAAATATTTGGAATGGTTAACTGTTTTATGAATATAACCAATATTTTTTAATTGATTATATCCATTCCATTGGTCAGTCCAAATTTCAGTACCTGGACGAACAATGCGGCGAATTATTGGTATCAAAGTTGTTTGTTTCCTGTTTTTTACATATGTTATGTAACCTTTTTTTTGCGTAACGTCGTAGATTCCGAGAATACATTTTTCCGGAATACACCGACCCCGATTGTATTTCCTTTTAGTTATTACAGATTCGTCAATTTGCACAACTTGTTCGTTTCCCCCTAAAAAAAAAACATACCTAAATATTATATAAATATATTAATAGGGTCAAATTTTGTTTAGCCGAAATCAGTTACGTAAAAACTATTACCATGGCAACCATCTACATAATATCACGCTACGCTCCTCTTACCTACCTCCTAACTACTATAGAGAAAAGCGAGCGAACGAAGCGCGCCCGGCCGAGCACGCCTTGTTTCCACTTACAAGATCACGCTAAGCTCCTTCCACCCACTTCCTATCCAGCTCCTAACCACTACAGAGGAAAGCGAGCGCGCCCGGTCGACGTTTCGAAATGCGCGCGCGAATTTCGAAACGTCGGCCGGGCGCGCCTTTTTTTCACTTACATTATAAGATCACGCTAAACTCCTCCCATCTACCTCCTAACCACTACAGAGGAAAGCGAGTGAAGCGAGCTGAACCACTCTTTCTCTAGTTTCTCCCAGCATTTCTGCAGTAGAAACTACCCTTAGTTGGCATGCCCAGCACCAAAACAATAAAATTGTATTTCTCACCGAAATTTTCATCTTCTCAAAAAATGAATTTTTAAATAATGAGTAGTCAGTTCTACATTTTGGGCAATAAAAAACCGTATTCAAATTGTTTGCTCCTTTCTTTTGTCTGGTCTTACAAAGTCGTCTGCAAGATCTTCTCTTGCAATGAAGATTTGACTTTATTAAATTAATATCTTGTAAGTATTTCACTAAATCAGCATCATTCTTGTTAATAATTTGATTAATACCATTAATACTATTCACCTTCATAATTTTGATTATTAAAAAACACTATAAATAATTCAAGACAAAATTGTGGATAACATTTACAATTATTATTCTGAGAAAAATGTTCTAGAATAAAATAAATGAACATCTAAATCTAAACTGTTAATACCCAGATTACTTAGTTTTTAAATATTACGGGTAACGCCAGAAATAGTAACAAGTAATAAATTAATCTTGGCAACCCTGCTCATTATCCAGAAAAGAAATGTCAAATAATAAAATTTTCAAGTTTTAGGTTAAATTTAATGAAAGACTCGTTTTCTTATTTTTAAAAAGTATTTAATTAAAATATATAATTGATTTATACTTTTTTTCGTATTTCTAAACCTAAGGTGAATTAAAATCATACTTAATATCATTTAAATCAAAAAACAAAGTGAAATTGGTCAAATAGTGTGTCCCTAAAGTCGAACGTAACCGGCTATATGTATTGTTAGCCTTCAAATATCATTATTACAATTTAATTCATCTTATCACTGGACATGGGTATCGTATTTGGTTCATATTGTCTAGTACAATGCATTGTACAATAATCCTATGTGCAGTATTCTAGACTGCTTTGCTTTAATTTGTTCAATTCTCCTAAAAATAGAAAGTCTCGTTTATATGTTATGTATTATAATCTTACCCTTAAGTAATTAATTATTTACGATCCCAATTTCATCGAATTTGTTTTATTTTAATTCAATGTTATTGTTTTAGTTTTGACAGTACGAGTTTGAATACGAGTTGACAGTAAATGTCAGTCAACGACGGGACACGATAATTGACAGTGTCATGTGTTGTGTGTCGTTCAGTCTGGTTCCGAGTTCCACGTAATGATACCTTCGTAGTGAGCAATTTTAAGTCATATTCGCTGTACGAGGTGCGTTCGTTTAACTGTAGGGTTTGTATAGATTTTTGTCGGGAGCAATTTCCAAATGTAGTTATATAGTATATAGATATGTTTGTAGAATAATCTTTCGTAAATAATCTCAAATATATATGCTGATAAGTTCTAAGGATGAATTAATGAAACCACTCGGCTTGTCATTTATCAAGGCGAGAGTGGAGACATCGTGGGAGATTTTTTGGTTAGGTGTTTCTGACAGGTGAAGAAAGGCAGAGAACCTCAAATTTTGTCACGGAGTAAAATCTTTATTTTATATAACCATCGAGTTATCCTATTAAAGGGGATTCTAGATTTTACTCCAATATTAATTGTGGAAGAACGGGTAAATGATATTTTAGGGGAATTAGTGTTTTTGATAAATTCCCATGTTTTTTTGGACCCAATCCACACCCGTTAAGGGATTTATAGACATAAGAATTGGAGATCCATCAGCATTTGAGTGTGTAATATTAAAGTGGATTCTTCAATAGGGATTGCTGAGGATTGTCTCGCTTGTTTTCCACCCTTGGAAGGAAACCAGTTTAACCCTTTACGAAAAAGGTATGTTTGTATATATTTGGTAATATTGTACACCTTTTGATTGTTGATTTATTTTATGTTATGGCTTGGTGTACCAGAATTTTAATTGAGTTCATAATACTGTTTATGTCTCTTGGTACTTAATAGTTTCTAGCTTAGGTACATTTTTGGTAATTAATTGTATAGTTTGGGAAACTTGTGTAACCGAAGTAGACAGAATTTTATTTATAAAGTTTTTTTTATTACCAACTTGTATATTCTAAATTGAAATTCAGCAGCTAATTGCGAGATATTATTGCAATATAGGTATGAAGTATCATCTGCAAATAATACAATATTACCATCATAAACCGACAATGATTAATAAAAAATAAAAGTTGCCCAAAGACAGAGCCCTGAGGAACTCCACAATTAATTAAACGTCTTTCTGATAGACGAGAGTTAACTACTGTTAGCTGATTTCTCTCAGATAAATAGGAACTTAACCACTCGCCAACTCTTCCTCTAATTGTCCACTTACACTTAAAATCTGCTGTTCTGAAACAATATTTTATTGATTTATGTCTACTTTTGCGCTAACTAAGAAGATAGAGCTCTAAGCTATCCTTATATTTCTTATTCCAGAGTAGATAGTGTATACTCTAAGCCAGTGCAAAAGTGCACGTAAATCAAAAGCAGAAGACATTGTAGCTCGTCAATCTGAAACAAAGAAAAAACACATATTGTACTAGTGTATCATGAATGATACACCCGACCTGCAGCAGCAAAATTATTATTGTTTAGCGAGTGTATCATTTACGATACACCAAAAAAATAATCAAAAAACAAAAAATATGAAAAACTGAAGTGTTAAATAAAACCAAATATGTGAAATGCTTTCAAAATTTATTTCATTGGTGAAGATTATTTTGGTCTGTGAGGTCAGATTTCGAAATTTTAGCTCGGCAGCGAACGTGTTAAGGAAGCTGATAACGGCAGTTTGAGTAGATCGACCTTCCCTGAACCCATGCTGACTATCATGAAATGCATTATTTTTTACGACGAAGTCTACCATTTTCCTAAACATAATTTTTTCTAATATTTTTGAAATACTGGATAATATAGATATATGTCTATAGTTATTCATAAGTGATACAACTGATACATCACCTTTTTTAAATAGTGGTATAACTTTGGCTGTCTTAAATATCTTCGGAAAAACACCTTTTTGGTAAGATCTGTTAACTAGGAATGTTAGTGGTCCAATAATATAATAAGCAACATATTTAAGAATATTGGAACTAATTTGATCAATTCCACAAGAATTAGATTTGTTCAACTCTTATTACACTTCTGTTTCGGTGAAAATAGATGGTAAAATATTTCTGATTTTACATTGTTCAGAAGGAGACTGATAATTAACATCATTCATAAAAATATCTGAGATTTCAGCAGAATTTCGCGACTTATTATTTAAGTCATCATTAATAATTGACCAAACGCTTTTGATTTGTTAGAGAGGCAAAGTAGTATACTTGGTCATTTTCTAATCTTTTGGCAGCTACACCGACTTTTCTATAATTCTTTTTATATCTACGGTAATAATTTTCATGATCAGGTGAATTTAAGGTTACTTTAAGGCGATATAGAAGGTTTATTTTTTTCTGAAGAAATAGGTATTCAATTTGTAATCCAGTTAGATTTGCATTTTGCTTTATGTTTAACTTTTAATATGTACATGTATTTCCAAAACACCTTGTATAGGTTCCAAGATTTATTATTAAAAAAAAGTTTGATTAAAAATATTATTATTGGTTTTAGAAAAATCAAACATTGCTTTTCCTTACAGAAACGGCGATTTAGTCCTTTCACCCAGAGCTAGTCATCATTCGATTAATTACAGTGAATCTGTGCACAATAGGTTGAGGGCCTACGATAATATACCAACTAGCGCTGGAAATATTCAGCCCTTAAGTATGTTGCCCTTTAACAAATCCCACACCAAGAGCAGCAGCGGTATTATTACCAGCAACAACATTCCTCAAGGTAAATAATCTTGCTTGCTTTTTTGACAAATTTTTTTTAATAAATTTTCCTTTTTCAGCAATGAGCAACTCAATCCCAACCCAAGCACCTTCCGCACCATCGACGACCATCACAAACAGCAAGCCAGTGGGTACCACAGCGATGTCAGTCACCTCTCTTCCCAGCATCCCCAAAGGTACTCCCATCACCATTTCCCAGCTCAACAGTCCGCCCCTGCTTCCTTCGAGCGCCATCCTCCAACCTCTCAGGCCTAAAATGGTCGGACAACCTCCTGGTCTGATTTCGCTGCATCCCGGTACCGGTAGACCCGTGGCGCCGTTGGTTAAGGTACCGCAACCGCAGAAGATAAAGTTCCCCATTACGAAGAATTGGAGACCCAATTTGATACCTATCGATCCTAATAAGAAGTTGGAAAGGAAGACTGGTTTGGTTCAGGTCAGTAATGTTTTTAAATATTTACTTATCCATGTTAGTAGAAGCGATGGAGAGTTAAAATTGCTTATAGTTTAGATTTTTGTTGGCATTTTATAGATAAAATTGTTTGAGTAGTGGAAATTGCAGTTTTTGCTTTCTAGATTTAAATGAAATCTGTTGTCCAAAAATCGTGCAGTAGATAGGAGAAATATTCTCAGAAATAATAGTAATAATAAGTTTAATTTTCAAATGTAAAAACTAAGGCCATGTCACCATTTGGGCAATCAAATCTTGTTAAATTGGGTTAACAAATTTTTTGGTATAACAAAATAATATAAAACTCGCATTGCCACGAAAGAATGGGTCACGGAGTAGAAGCGTTCCTAAGTGAGATTAGAAGAAAATACTGGGTAATTGATGGGCGATCGGCAGTAAAATCAGTATTTTCTTAAAGTCCAAAATGTCAAATCCTAAAAGCCAAACCTGAAATACCCAAAATGAGTCAATTTCTGATTGTCAGACTAACACCAGTACCGAAAAATAAGAAGAATGGCTTCCAGAAGGGGACAACCATTAGAAATTTATTTATTTATTATTTATTTAACGGATAAACCAATTTATAATAATAATATTCTTAACATTCATAATTAAATATAGAGCTACATAAATATAGTAAGGTAGTGTTAAAATTTGCGTTTTCTTGAAAAGTTCTTTACATGATGTTGTTGGTGTCACCTTATACATGGCTCTCAGAACCTTCTTTTGAGATACAAAAGCTCTTTCAAAGTATGGTGAAGAACCCCAAAATATTAATCCATATTGTAGAGTTGAATAAACCAAACCAGAAAGTATCAAAAGATAGTGTCTCCCTTAAATTTTTGATGATATAACAAGTACTTAATTTTGAAGTTACCATTTTTATATGAGCCTCCCAATTTAATTTGGGATCTAATATTATTCCTAAAAATTTTATGTCATCAACGCTTTGAATAGTTTTTTCGTCAACGTGCAAGTAGGGTTCGTAATCTGGTAATATGTTTTTGGGTAGAAATTGCATGAAGTTTGTTTTTGTTACATTTAATGCCAGACCGCTATCTTTACAATACTGGTTAAACTCACGAGATGCCTCGTTGCTACTTTGAGTGACCTGTTCAATTTGATCATCTGCCAATACAATATTGATATCATCTGCATATTGAACTATTTGTTGAGAGCTTAAACAAAATTACTTATATCACTTATAAAAACTATAAAAAGAAGTGAGCCCAAAATTGAACCTTGGGGAACTCCTATTATACATGGAAGAGGATCAGATTTTAGACTATTTGTTACAATTACTTGAGTTCGATTTATTAAGTAAGACTATCCATTCATAAGGTTTCCCTCGTATTCCTAACCCATTCATCTTCAATAATAAAAGATTATGATCCACCCATAGACATATTATCTAAGATAGACTCGCCCTACACACTGTATACCCAATACACCTTCTGTCCGCATGTTTTACCAGACGGGGAAAGGGGAATCGTACGTCGCACATTGACGTAGTGTTTCGGGAGGGTTTACATATATTTTTAGTAAAAATTATTTAATGACCAAATCAATAACCTATGGGTCTTCGGAATCAAAGCTAAATTTAAAGAAAACATATTCAATTTATACAGGGCATTCAAAAAGTCATTTTATATTTTTTCTTATAGATTAAAATAGTAGGTAGCTCAAAGTGGAAGAACATTTTTGTTAGTATTTTATTATATATTTTTTTTTTAAATACATGAAGAGCAAAAAGCAAGTAAAAATATAAAGCGATTTATTACTATTTTTACATGGGTACTGTTTGAAAACCTTTATTACAGGTCGAAAAAAGAATAATTATATTGCCGGATTACCTTTTTTTATGAAATAAAAAGCTATTAAAAACAGAACAATTTTATTTCAGATACATAAATATACAAATATGATCTTTCTATTACGTACCATTTGGGTTGCATGTCACGACACCTATTTTTAGAATTATTTGTGTAATGATATAATAACTCATTTAGGACAGTAATCAGCAATGATTTTATAATATCTGGACAAGGCTAAAACACATTAGCTTAAGATTATCAAGAGATACTTTATTTCTAATTTGTCCGAATAGAAAAAACACTAAAGGAAGCTTCTTTTGTGACATTTCGAATGTCATTTTACTATCAATGATTACTCCTACAAACACTCTTGGTGAAGAATCTGCTCAATAGATTTATTTAGTGTTATAAGATAACTGATATTTTGTAAAGCATATTTTGGAATAAAAGACAAAATAGCTAGTTGTGTATTAAGAACAGAAAGTAGCACCTTTGACAGTTGAGACAGAAAGTCTGTCGAAGAGAAAAGATTTATTTTATATTTATTCAAAAAGGACGAAAAATACAATATCAAAACTGTTATCTCAGTTATGTAATCATCATTTTCAGTATTTGTGTTTTTCCAACTGACCATTATTTTGTAATTGAGATGAAAAACCGTACGAGTCGCATATATGTACGGTTTTTCACCTAATTTCACGGGTATAATCAGCTGTACTACATTAACAGCTAGGTATCTAGTACGGTTTTTAAGCTCAATGCGCTAGTTCAGTGTGATGTCATTTTGGTTCGACTGACATTTAATTCTAACCAAACTTTTCACAAAAACATCAATAAATTTAACATATACGTTTTTACTATTTTTATTTTATTTCAAAATATTGTTTACAGGTCATAAAAAATAGTTTAAAGGTATATAATTGGTAACTAAACGATTGTATATTTGATACATGCTATCTACTTACTTTAGGAATATATTTATAAAAGTGAAAAAAAAACGATATAATTTAGGTAAACAAAACGAACAAAACGCACTCCAAAAATCTACTGTCACTTTAATTGTCAGTGGAACCATAATTACATCATCACTGAACTAGCGCATCGATGAAGAGACAAATTTTAAACGAAATGGCTTATTTTGAAATGTCAAATTTGAGACTTGTACGGTTTTCGAACTCACTGGTTCAATTGCAGAACACTGTTTGCAGTGAATCTTTTTCTTTAAGGATTTTGCTATAAAACCAGAAATATAAGCAACTACATCCTGAATGTATTCGCTCAGAAAATATATAGATAGGTAATCATGGTCACGAAGCTCATTTGTAATTCCCAATTTTCTTTAGTGTCTGATTCGTAACATTTTAAATTTAACGCAATTTGGCTACTAGTGTTGCTACAATCGAAGATGCTAGTGCCATCTGAAGCAATTGCATTGGCAGTTTTATTTGACTTTACTTCATTATGAATTAATAATTTTTTATAACAATTTTGAAACAATCTCCATGTGAGATTGTTATTGAAGCATCTGTTACGAACTGCACTAAAAAAAAGTTTTTTTTTTCTTCATTTTTCGCCTCTTCAACTACCTCTCCCAAAATTCTGTAAAATGTGATGATTACTGTATAATTTTAGAGCTTAAATATAATAAAAATACCCATAATAAATACTGTACTTACTTGATAGGTATAGCATTATGTTTTTAGATGTGTCTTCCACCTAAATTTTCATAAATATCTGCCATACAAAAATGGTCAGAACATATACTAAGGCTTCTTTCATTTTTATAATGTTTTTCTCCACCAAGCATAGATTTTGCAGCCAAATTCTACGTTGAATAATTTCTCTAGGAAACCTGATCAGAAAATATAGAACAATGCTAGTGCTAAATGCCTTTACACTGTTAAATAAATTAAGCCTTATTCCCTGTATATGCCTACGCCTATGCTAACATAATCTTATTTATGAAATGACCGAATAACATTCTTATTCTGCGTATTTCGGCACACTATACATTTCCTCCCCATCGTAAAAGTCCTTAATAAAAAGTTCAGGGTTTAAATTATTCTTGAAAACTACAAAAAACCACAAAAATCACAATAAAACTTGATCTGTCACTTTGACAACATCAGCAAAATGTCTTAGGTTGCCAAAGTTAAATGATTTATACCAAAATGTTTAATATTCCCATATGATACACATGTAAAAATAGATACTTAAAAGTCTTAAGTGATTGCAATTAATAAAAAACTCATATTGATGCTTTCAATTCTTTATTTCCTTTTTTATTAGATTGTATTAAAGGTAATAGTAACTTTTTAAATAAAAATTTAATGTTTGATATTTGATGAAAGAGATCTGACAACATAGGAAGAGCGTACCGTCAAAAAAAAGTTGCGGACAAGTGTAATGTATACAAGGCGTATCTATTATCCGATATCTTTGGATCCACCATATCAAATGCACGGCTAAGGTCATAGAAGAGTCCCAAAATATGTTTTTTTATCATTGAGTGCTTGATATATAAATTCTAAGCAAGCTGCAATTGCAGTAGATGTTGACTTATTTTTTCTAAATCCATTTTGAGTATCTGGCAACATATTAAAACTTTTAAGGTAATTAGTGATTCTAATAAAGTATGCTGACTCAAATATTTTAGTTATTTGACTAGATATACAGATTAAACAATAATTTTCTATATTAGATACAGATCCCTTATTTTTATAAACAGGAATTCCTTTAGATTCCTTCATATTTGGGAATAATCCCGAAACAAAGGATTCATTAATCAAATGTGATATGGGTTCAGCAATACAATGAGCAACCGATAACAGAATTTTACCATTTATTTCGTCAATACCTTCAGTGGGTTTAGAAGTAGTTTTTTTGATTATAGTGATGATTTCACTAGGAGTTGTTGGAAAAAGAAAAAAACTTTTATGATGTTTATCAATACTCATAGTATAGTTAGGTACAATATTATTTTTATTTACATTAATAAAATAGTCATTGATATAATTTACTTTTTCTAAGGGTGTTAATTTGTCATCATTTGTAAGTCTAATAGGATTCAATAAGTTGTTTTTTCTTTTTCCCCTACTCTCGTTTATTATATTCCAGGATTCTTTCATTACGTTATTACTTTTTAAAATACGATCATTATTTTTTCTTCTCAAATATTGTTTTGTTATTTTTTGATACTTTTTTAAATTATTTTAACGTTCTGTATAATATGTAGAATTTATTTTTTTTTTCTTTAACCTGTTCTTTTCACATAATAGATTATGTAACTCTTTAATATGCGGTGGAAACTGATTTTTTAATTTTTGTGGTTTTATCGTAAATACAATATTGTAGTGGTATAGGAATAATTCATAAAAGATAGAAAATTTATCATTAAAATTAGTAGATGTGTATAATTCACGCCAATTTTCAACTGAGATAAAATATTTATAAAAATTATTGCGTTAGGATCACTTAAATCTCGTTTATATCTGTATTTAAATTCATTATTTTCAAAATTAGGTAGTTTAATCGAACATAATAAGTAGTTATGATCAGACAAAAAAGTATCATATACACCCACCTTATCTACATCAAAATTGGTAAAAAAATTATTTAAACAAGTTGAGGTTGTACTTGTTGTTCTCGTTGCAACATTTATATGATGTTTAATATTAAATTCCTTCAATAAGTCAATTAAAACAGTTTTTTGATTACCTTCAATCAAAAAATCTACGTTAATACCACCACAGATAAAATAGTGATTGTCGTTTTGATAAATATTATGAATTAATAGCTCTAGCTGATTTATAAAAGTGCTAAACTTAGTACAAGGTGGCTTATACACAGTAATAATAAATAAAAAAAGTTTAGAATCGATCTTTATTTTTCCACAACATACTTCAAATTCACCTTCTATACACCACTTATGTAAATTAATTGATTCAAAATTTGCAGCAATACTTGTTTTCATAAATATACTAGCACCACCTTTTTCTTTATTTATCCGTGAAAAATATGGTACTAGCTTAAAATCGTCAATTGAGGTAGCTTGTAAATTGTTAGAATCAAGCCAATGTTCAGTAACACACAGAATACTTACATTTTGTTTCTGTAAAATTAAATTTAGATCAAAGCATTTATTGGCAAAACCTCCCTGTATATTGATATGCATTAAAGTAATATTTAACTGCTGGGAACTGCAAAATAGTAATTCATTATTTTCTTTCAAAAAGTGGTTTTCCATAGTAGTCCTTGAGGCTTGAGGTCCCTATTTTATCAGGTTTGAAAAATTTTCTTCACTCTTATGCGATCTCTGGTTTTGGGAATCTTCAAGAAATCGCTGACCTTGTTTAAAGTTAAATCGGGAATAAATTATATTTTTCGGCCAAAATTCTGATTTATATACTTGCTCCTGATGATGATCGATATACGTTTTTTTTTTCTTGTGTCTAAAATCTAAATAATACCAATATGATTTTAAGAAGAATTTTTGCTTTTGAATCATATATTAAACTTTTTTTAAGAATATCTCACTTATTTTTGGACAATCTATACCATTTAAAACTAAAAATCAAAAACTGAAAATTTCCACTACTCAAACAATGTTAACGCCAACGGAATAATAGAAACGTATCAGAAAAAGTAATTGACATTGGAAAATGGCGGTTTGTAATTTTATCAAAATTTTGCATTTATTTCAGGTAATTTCGGGCGGTAAACCGTACCACATAACGCTCGAAGACTACAAAAAAATGTGCGCCATCAAGCGGAGCTTCGAAATGAAACAGAAACGTCTGCAAGAGGCCCAAGCCCCCAAACCCATCCTCGTCACCCACAATTCCGTTCTCAAGTCAATTATACCGCGAAAAGGTTTGGTAATCTCAAAAACTGCCACTGTCAGTGCACCATCCATCAAAACCGAACCCAGTACCCCAGGTGGTCATCTAGGAGATGGTGTTTCGGAAGGGGAGAACATACTGGATAAGTTAGACAAGCAGGTGGAGAAGCTGGAATCCAAATTAAACGAGAAACCTTCGTCTTTGTTACTGCCTAGGATACCAAAATCGCTGACGGTTATACCGCAGACTATTACAAGGAGGCCGGACAGGCCTTCCAGTCCTGTGTTACTCATCACTTCAAAGAATAGTAGTACCAAGTCATGATTTCGTTCGGTGACAATTGTTCAAAGTGCCTATTAAATTTGGCGGACCAGAAATTTGGAAGTACACCATACATACGTACCTAAATAAACAAAATCAGTTGACATAAATACTATTTTTTATTGACATAAGTACGATTATTGACATAAATAATATTTTTTACTATCATAAGTTGACAGTTCTCTACAGAGCAAACTAAGAAAAACAATTTGATAAGTATGATGTAAGTTGTTAGTTTGTCTTTTAAAATATGCTCCATTTTTTTATTTATTACTTTATATAATTTTATAATTAAAACATTTTAATTTCTATCTGCCTTTTGGCTGTTCAAATATTTAGTTTCGCCTTTATACTGGTCTTTAGTCCTTCAGTTTTCGTGATGGCTTAAAAACGCACCTTACTATTTTTGTCGTGGAATGAACCGCCTAATCAAAAATATTATTTATAAACACTATATAACCAACTTTTTATTTTTTTGTTATGTGGTGCTTCCAAATTTCTAAATCCCCATGCCCTATACAATTTCGAAGTATTTTAAGTTTGAAATTTTACTTTACTTATATAAAATTGTTGGTAAAATAAAAAAAATTTACTTGGAGAGAATACTTGTTATACTATTGTCAGTTGATAATATTTTTTTAATATGAAAGCAAAACAAAAAATAAAATTGTATATATACACAAATAGACTTGTACATAATAATTGACTATGTAGCCTTTAGGTAGGTAATAACTAAAAAAATATCACATATTTAACTTGTAATTTATTAATATTAAAGCAATACTTTATTTTATGGATACGAGATAATCATGTTGAACAAGATTGTAGATTCTCAAAATAAAATTATTTCCTTTTTTTACCTTAATTGGCCATATCTTTTTATGTTTGAACGTGTTACCTATTAAGAAGTAGAGGTATGACAATTATTTGTCCAAATCTGTCATTTATTCGTGAAATGATTGCTGGCTTATTATAAATAATCTAAGAGCCCGTCGCTGATAGGTTAATGATTGCTTAACACTAGATCAACCATGGTTTGCTTAGGTTTTACATAAATGGTACTACATTTTTTTGAATGAGTGCAACCTGATGATAAGTCATTTGTAGCTATTTTTTATATACGAAATTGGGACTGGTAGGTGTCTTTTGTATCGACTAATATGGCGGAAAAGCAGGTACTGATTTACAAGTTACCTGTACTATTTACTGGTTAAGTAAATCTAATTATTGGAATTCAAAAAATTAATGCCCTTTACAGATATAAGGCTAACAATAATTGGTTTTCCATAACCAACATTTTCATGCATTCTTCGTTAATAAACAATTTAATCTTTTCGTATTAAAAGAAAAATTCAAGAATGAGAACTATAGGTCTGATTTTTTCACCCCTGAGTACGGTTACTTGTAAGGTTGGGTAGATTATCAAAATAATTGATTATTCGATTATATTCATTTAATCGTTTATTTTTTTATTGATTGTTTTCGATTATTTGATTAATCAAGAGATCGATTATTTTCGATTAATCGTTCAAATTGATTATTTCCGAATAATCGGATTACTGACTATTAGATTAATCAATATATCGACGGCCAAAGTGCAGTACCTCGTATCATTTTTTTGATAAATTTTACAGGAAACGAGAAAACTACATTTTTTAACGTTTTGTATTTATTTTGCAACCGGGATGTGTAAAGGTGGATTTTTTAACTGTTTTTAATATAAATTTACTATTTTTTATTTTTGTTAAGCCTAGTATGCTTCATACGAGGTATTGCATTAGAAATGAAAAATTATACGAGGTACTGTAGATAAAATGGGGCGATAGAAGCTAAAAAAACGTAAAAATATAAATTTTTATTAGAAATGTTTATTATCAAAAAATGGTAACGCTTGTAAGAAAACAAAAAAAAACTAAATAAAATCCAATTTCATACGGTAACTCTTACAAGAAAGCAAAAAAAAACTAATCTTATACTAAAAACAACAAACTATCTGAAAACATTTTCCTATTCATATTGCAAGTTTTCATAATATGGCCAAAAGTCTTTGGGAATAACCTGCTTCATCTCGTTAAGGTGATCAAACTTTTTTGTTAAATTGTTTGCAGTCTGTTGTATAACCGCGGAAACACAACTCCAGCCAGACTTATAGCTTTTGGTCGTCGAGGAAGCGCTTGAAACTCATCGTTGAAATTTATTTTGAAATGAATTTCTCCCTTTGGCAAGTACTCTAGTACTCTTAGATTTGTGACGACTATGGAATCATACTTCAGTAATGGCTTGTGATTAAAATTGGTAAAAAAATCAAAGTCTGGTGTTTTAACTACATAGGGGTTTTTCTTCTTAGCTTCTTTTCTTATTCGAGCATAATCGCTTGGAAGATAAATGTCCTTATTTTTCAATGAAGTTTCAATACAAGCATGTACGCTATCGCAATCCATTTGGGTAGGGCCTTAGGCCAGATGTTTTTGTGTTATTTTTACACCATAAGTTTCAGCCAAATGAAGTAGCGCGTTTGACATTATGGAATTGCGATTTTGTGCTATGCAACCATCTGAAAATATAATAATTTCTCTTTTGTCACCGTTGTCCAAAAAGTTATCTTTGAGATAATCGACAACACACGAGGCGTATGCTGAGGCTTGCAGATATGTTTTGGTTTCGTCAAACCAATAGCAAGGTCCCAAATTTGTTGCCAAGTCGTAGATGGTAAAATTGTGGCAACAAAGCTTTACTTTGTAATACAGTGAGCTAGCTTTTAGCTGAGGACAAATCTTGACCGCTTGAAGATCCCCGAAAATGGCTCTATTCTTGTCAAATTCTTTTTCGTTTCTAGCCCTGTCTTTTTCTTCACATTGTTTCAAAAATGGATCTTCCTCTAAGTTTTCGTTTTCAAATTTATAACACTCATCGCATCTATCCTTTCGAGGTGTAAATATTCCAATGTTGAGCTCGTTTACAATTTTCGTTAGTTTGGTTATAGACAAACACTTTTTTCCTTTGATATTGTACTGTTTCTCGTACTCTTGGTGTAATTGAGCCATGGACTGAAATTGTTCTAGATATTCTTTCAAAGTTTCCTTGCGACAGTAGTGAGCAGGTAACTTATTAAGTGATCGCAAAAATTCTCTAAGATATTCTGGAGATTCATCATGAATATTTTTTCTTTTCATTCTGCTTAGCACAGTATTTTCTTGTCTTTAATTTAAATCGCAACGATATTAAAATAAATCAAAGTATTTTTTGGATGAAACGCAATGTAAGGATATGTTTATGGCAATAATTGTAATAAACAAACATTTACTTACCTCAGTAACGTCAAAAATGTAAAAACAAAGCTCAACACGATATTCTTACAGCAGAAATCAATGGCGACTATCTGTTACGAGGTACTGCATTACAAAACATAAAATAAATTTTACGAGGTAATGAATTTTCCTGTAGAGACTTGTTACGCGGCTCTCGTAAATTTTTTAAACGTTGTCAGTAGATGGCGCGGTCAGAACCAAAAACATTCGTGTAACAAACTTAAAATGGGAAAAATGCCATATACGAGGTACTGCACTTTAGCCGTCGATATGGATATTATTTAATTGATTTTTAAACTTATTTGATTGTGATTAATTTACCGATTATTATTAAATATCTAATTCAATTACGTATTAGTAAGGTAATCGAAACGAACGTTTTATAATATGGAATTATTGATATAGTCCAATCAAATAGACCTTTAAATCAAAATTTTGGAGGAAATATAAGAATTTTTGATATAAGTAACTTTAGAGTATTTGAAAATGATAGGTAAAAAAATTTTGTTTTTCAGGCCCCGGCAAATGGCGAAAAACAAGAAAATAAAGTGTTTTTTTAAGGTTATTTAAAAATGGTAGGTGCTATAAAAAAAAGTTCTTAATAAAAATTGTAAAACATAAAATTTTACATAAAAATAATATTTAACATTTTTTGCAATTATTAAAACTAACAGAGTTAGATTATTTATTTTCTTTTTATTATTTACTTAGAAAAATATGAACTTTCATTTCAGTAAAATAATTTGTCTTTTTTTAAGTTATGACAACTTAAATTTACAAATTTTCAATAAATCATACGACTTTATATGGTAAAATAAAATTATGGCTTATATGACATGAAAAATATGAGTAACGAACTAATAAAAACGACATTGCGACAGTTTAGTCCCCACTTGAAGCTCCATTAAATAAATAAAAATTAATGAAAACAAATTAAAAAAATTAAATTAAATAAAAATAATTAAAAATAAATAAAGATAAAAAAAATAAGTAAATAAAAATAAATATATAAATAAAATTGAACAAAAAATAAAATTAAATAAAAAGATAGAAGTAAAAGAAAATAAATATATTAAAATATATTAAAATAAATTAAAATAAATTAAAATAAATTAAAATAAATAAAAATAAATATTAATAAAAAACAATCTAAGTAAAAAAATAAATAAATAAAATTAATTAATGTGTCATGTTATCTGTTATATGGGTTGAACTTTTCGAATGTCGCCCGTATATATTATGTCGCCACATCATTTGCCATGATGCATGTCACGTCACCTGTCATGATACATGTCACGTCACCTGTAATGTCATATGTCACATTATCTGCCATATGACTTGTCATATCATCTACCGCTGTTGAATTTTTCGAATGTCCCCCTTTTACGCATGTCATTTGCACTTAGCCGAGTTTCAAACTGCTTAGTTTCGAATTATACCACTAACAGGTGACGAATTTTGAATTAGTGAGCCAGAAGCGTCCTTTTTATTGTACTAAATTTCAAAAGAAAATGATTAATATATAAAATGATGAAAAGAATAACATAATAATAAAAAAAATTTAATATCAAAAATTCCTGTATTTCCTCCAAAATTTTGATTTAAAGGTCTATTTGATTAGACTAATAGGACTGGGCGATTATCAAAATAAATCGAATATTTACGATTAATCGATTATTTGCCATTATTCAATAAATTGATTATTTCCAATAATCCAATTAATCAAATATCGATTTTTCCAAAAAAAAATAATCGATTATTTTTCCTACCCCTAGTTACTTGGCAGATTAGCGAACTATAATATATTGCCTAAACAACAAGTAGTTACATTTAACTTTGAAAAACTGGCTCCTAGTGTAATAAGTTTAATTAAACTACATTCTGTGAGTGTAAATATGTACGCTTCGCGTCATATAAAACTGGTATAACTCTTATAACGAGAAATCGTGTTTTTTAAGCTGTGTAAATTGATCTTTTAAAATGGGTCAAATTTAAACTACTTTATAGGTTATAATTTCTAGGACAACGTTGCCAGCACAACAAAAATATTAGTAGATGTAATGATACAAACAAATTTTGTAAAGTAATAAAATGCGCAAAGGATATTTTGTGCAGCATTAATGCAAAAAGTGTAACTTAAATTTTAAATAAATGTGTGAAATTTAAATACACACAACCAAACTTATATGGAATAGTCTATTATTTTTCATAATTTTTGAGATTTATGAACATTTTTTTGTTTATGAATAAAACTCAGTCGTTACCAAAGACTTCTAATGAGAAATAACCTATATAGCAATAAAAATAATTAATTAGTTGACAAAATAAACACAATAGTATTTTTTTGGTTTCTGAAACGAAATTAGATTTAGACTTTTAATAGCCGAAAAACAAAAACCGAAAGAAAAATGGTAATTTTAACAATCCGTGTTATCATCTCTAACCCTTATGCAAGCTTCTATTCGCCTTGACATGCTTCTTATTAAATTGTCAACATTGTCTTAGGGTATATTTTCCCATTCTACTAATGCTGCATCAATAAGCTGTGCGACATTTCCTGCATTGTTTCGACGAGCTCTAATCCATCTTTTGAGCTGGTCCTACAAGTGTTCGATAGGATTTAGGTCTGGTGAACATACAGGGCAGTATAAAACTGTGACACCTTCTGTTTCAAGATATTCTGTAGCCACGCTGCTGGTATGGGGAGGTGCATTATCGTGCATAAAGATAAAATTAATCCCAATTGCAGCTCTCCAAAGCCTTACAATTGGTTCTAGCACTAAATCAACATATCTCGGACCAGTTAAAGTTTGTTGAAGTGGTAATAATGGAGTTTCTGCTTCCAGCATAATACCTGCCCAAAACATTAAACTTCCTCTTTGATATCTTGGGACATATCTGGCAGCGTGGAGTCTCGCTCATTTTCCTGGAGCTCTGAGAACCCGAATTCGATGGTCATCTGATCTTAGGCCAATTCTGGTCTCATCCAAAAAAAGAACATTCAACAATTCTGAATTGTCCAGTTTTGATGTTGGAGGCACCAATTTAGCCGGTCAATTTTATTTTGCCTAGGTAACGGTGGGACCCGTAACTCTGCCCTACTGTACAAACTTCGTGTGCGAAGTCTTTCTCTTGTTTGAATTGAAACGTTCACATCTGTAGCTTCCAGAAGTTGTCGTTGTAGCTCTAGATGAGAAACACTGGAATTTCGTCAAGTAAATTGGCACACAAAGCGGTCCTGTTGTTCAGTTGTGACTCTTTGACTACTTTATATGGGCCTGTTCTTGAGAGTTTCTAGTTCCAAGTACCTTTCATATGTTTTCAATACAACACCCTGGGTATCGATTACTGCCTCTGCTACCTCTCGTTGGGGCATTCCTTGTTCAATGAAAGCAATAATTCTCACCCTCCTGCATATCTGTTAGTCCAATATTAGGCATTTTGTTGTTTTTTTGGACCGAAATAAAATTACCGGAGAATCGTGATTTTACTGAACACAAAATTCACAAGATATTAAATCTCAGCAGTTGTTTTTTCTTTATTATCATGTTTGTTAAGAACAAAAGACCTTATCTTAAAGTTAGTTACACAGTGATTCCATATAAGTTTGGTTGTGTGTACATATCACATAATATCATGGTATAAGCTCCATTATTTTTTTTTTGTATGTCATCGACTACTATGGTTATTTCGCCTTGTGTTCTGTGTAGGCTTTGTTACTGTTTCCCAGCGCCACTTTAGGAATAGCACCGTTAATTAAAACCCAACAATGAATGGTCTAGTGGAGAATCCTACCAAGGCATCAGAATTAATTTTAAATAATTAAATTAAATGAAAAAAACCCAGCCCACGGTGTGAATCGAACCCGGGACCCTTGGATCACCGCAGACAGAGACTACCACTCAGCCACCCACCCCGTAGCTCCATTATTATTAATAATTTCTTGACTTTGTCTAGGCACTGAGTTAATTAAAGTTTGTTTTAACTTTTGCCTGTCTTGCTGTCCTGGTTCCTCTTTTTCTGCCCAGAACTGGATCGTTGTCACTTTTCTTTTAATTCTCTGAATCATGTTTTATTTCTATTAAACACTTGAGTCAGTCGTCTAATAGACCAACTATCCGCTATTTTGGAAATTACTCGCATTTTATCAAATTTACTGGCATCGTAGCAATGCGCTTTTAACAAATTTGACAGATTGTCATTTTTAAAAATAAGTTAGTTTTACATTGAGAAAAAAAGTGTACCAGTTTTATGTGACGCGAAGTGTACAAAGTTTCCAGAGTTTGTTTTTACAATAAATAGTAAGTTACAATGTTTCAATCATTGTATTTCATTTTCTACTGATAAGCAAGATACTGACGCATATCAGACTCGCAAGAAATTGAATTTGGTTCATCCTAAGTGAAAATTGTATAGGGTGAGATAAAGTATATTATGCTAAATCATCTTGTAGATTTATTTAGCAACAATCAATAATATCAAAACAGTTTGTAGGTAAGTGAAATGTGATTTCGAAAATATGTTTTTAAATAATCGTTTTAATAAAGGAAGTTTTAATCAGTTTGATTATAAGCAGTGAACATAGTTTTTATTACTCTTGTAAATTTCGCTAAAAAAATTGAAAATTCTATTGATTATTAAATATTTAAACTTGGAAAAATAATACACCAAACTCTTTTTCTATAAATTATATTTTTGTAAGTTACAGAAAAACAAACTACAATTGCTACGTTTAGAAAGTACCTTGTATCATTTTGTGACAAATTACAAAGAAAGTCACAGTTTATAATATATTTAAAAAATAATGTAACAAATATTTTATAAAGTATATCTATACCTTTTTGCCAGACTATCATAAATGCCATTTGAACAAATGTCGCTTACGTTAGTCTGGCAAAAAGGTATCGATATGTTATGACTGTTTATTTTAATAGAAACCATGGAAACGAAACAAACACATACACTCACACAAATGTATAAGGCCTGAGTCGAGTAAGTTCCCATCCTGTAAACTGGATCGAAACCTGATAGACCCATTCCGTACACCCCCTGCTAACTCCTCTTAAGTTCATCAAGATCAATAGATTTATATGCCATGCCTTCTAAAAGGAATGAAGGATGACATACTATCATTTAAACAGGACGTTGTTGAAGGCTTACCCCTGTTATGTCGTCTGTTTGTGTATCTTGTGTGTGTGTTTGTGTATCTTGTGTGTGTGTGTGTGTGTGTGTGTGTGTGTGTGTGTGTGTGTGTGTGTGTGTGTGTGTGTGTGTGTGTGTGTGTGTGTGTGTGTGTGTGTGTGTGTGTGTGTGTGTGTGTGTGTGTGTGTGTGTGTGTGTGTGTGTGTGTGTGTGTGTGTGTGTGTGTGTGTGTGTGTGTGTGTGTGTGTGTGTGTGTGTGTGTGTGTGTGTGTGTGTGTGTGTGTGTGTGTGTGTGTGTGTGTGTGTGTGTGTGTGTGTGTGTGTGTGTGTGTGTGTGTGTGTGTGTGTGTGTGTGTGTGTGTGTGTGTGTGTGTGTGTGTGTGTGTGTGTGTGTGTGTGTGTGTGTGTGTGTGTGTGTGTGTGTGTGTGTGTGTGTGTGTGTGTGTGTGTGTGTGTGTGTGTGTGTGTGTGTGTGTGTGTGTGTGTGTGTGTGTGTGTGTGTGTGTGTGTGTGTGTGTGTGTGTGTGTGTGTGTGTGTGTGTGTGTGTGTGTGTGTGTGTGTGTGTGTGTGTGTGTGTGTGTGTGTGTGTGTGTGTGTGTGTGTGTGTGTGTGTGTGTGTGTGTGTGTGTGTGTGTGTGTGTGTGTGTGTGTGTGTGTGTGTGTGTGTGTGTGTGTGTGTGTGTGTGTGTGTGTGTGTGTGTGTGTGTGTGTGTGTGTGTGTGTGTGTGTGTGTGTGTGTGTGTGTGTGTGTGTGTGTGTGTGTGTGTGTGTGTGTGTGTGTGTGTGTGTGTGTGTGTGTGTGTGTGTGTGTGTGTGTGTGTGTGTGTGTGTGTGTGTGTGTGTGTGTGTGTGTGTGTGTGTGTGTGTGTGTGTGTGTGTGTGTGTGTGTGTGTGTGTGTGTGTGTGTGTGTGTGTGTGTGTGTGTGTGTGTGTGTGTGTGTGTGTGTGTGTGTGTGTGTGTGTGTGTGTGTGTGTGTGTGTGTGTGTGTGTGTGTGTGTGTGTGTGTGTGTGTGTGTGTGTGTGTGTGTGTGTGTGTGTGTGTGTGTGTGTGTGTGTGTGTGTGTGTGTGTGTGTGTGTGTGTGTGTGTGTGTGTGTGTGTGTGTGTGTGTGTGTGTGTATTCCTGTTATGTCGCCTGTCATGTAAAAGTTTTCCTAGTCTCCTAATTTGGTGACTAGGTGGATCTTCTCCAACTAGTCGTCTAATCTATTCGATCTGCTCTCGAGCAGGAGGTACTTTTCAAACATAGCAAATAATATTAATAATAAACACTATTTAAAGATGAATAAATTTTTGTAATTTTTTTGTCGTTGTCCCTTACCAGGATATACCTATTTTCCATACTCCCTTAATTATAGATTACCTTACGATGTTTGAATGAATATAACATTTAACCCATGAAAAATCTAATTTCGAATTTAACTCTTTTTCAATTTCATTTGAAACAATTGGTATATTACAATTTATTATTAAGGAAATCTTCTAATAAAGTTATAGCAGATCCTACTTAAACTACTCGTTTTTCTGCAGGATAAATTAACTGTTCGTGAGATTGATCTCTCTCTAAAATGCAAAACCGACCTGATGTCCCCAAATGTATTTTCCAATGCATCCTGATTTAAAATTCTGCCCTTTTGTGATTCAATTTTTTTTTTCTTCATTTAAATGACTACCATCTTCTAATAGCCACTAGAGTGGCTATTAGAGGTAGGTTTATGTAAGAAATGGCCAATCTCTAATCATTTCAAAAGTCCTTTGCCAATACTACATGTGCAGAGATTTTTTACTCAGCATACATTTTACTTTTCTAGTAGGTGGTAACTTTGTGCTGCCATTAAAGCTGTCCAGACATTCATCTACCTACTTAATGAACAAAAGTAGCTGTAACAATGGATCTCTGTTTCAATTCATCTAAAATAATTATAGCCATTTTGTATAATAATATTAAACACACGCATTATACGTGGTTTTCTTAATAAATTGGAAATTACTTTTACCTCTAGAAAGAAACGCGAGTTTGGTTCCAGAAATTGCTTCATGCAAAAAATTATATGCGAAAATAAACATTCCCCCCTCCTCCCAAAGAAAATTAATTAGACAACAAAATTTTACTCAAAAAAAAACGGGGCCCAAATTAAATTAATTTTAATAAAATGCACACGTTGATAACAACATTCATAACATTGTCAGTTCTAATCTATACTTCGACGTCAAAAAACCAGCAACATCAGCGACCTCTAGGATTGGTGTTAGTTTTATTGGAGAGAGCTAAATATATGTAAAGATCAATGTAAAAGAGAAAGTCATATATGAAATTTAAATGGACCACCGAACAAATTTTCCTATTAAG